TTACACTTGAATATTAAAATACTAAAATCAACTTATTAGTGCAAAGTATTTTACAAATTTTTGTTAATAATGTATACGTTATAGTTAAAAATATTGATCTAGTAAATTGTATGCTATTGAATAATAATTTTTTATAAGGAGTACTTTAATAAGTTAATTTATGCATAAATTAAAGATATTAACGCTTTCAAATTATTATTTTACTGTCAAAAATATACACAAAAGTTAATTTCAACAACGTTTAAAATATAATATAAATCACTGTATAAATCTTAATGCCAAAAATACACTAAGTACTGCCTGATTTTTATTAGTATATTTATGCTATTTTTAATTAACTTTGATTGATTTCATTAATTTTCACATTGCATACTTATACATTCTCACTGTTGTCAGTCTGTCCTTCGTTAATTTCGGGAATGGAGTTATAGACAAATATTGAGATCAGATATAGAGTTTAGGGCCAGACACCTCAATTAACTATATACAAACTTCCAGTCTGTACTGGAAGTCACTTAATCTTTTAAATTAAAATATAATTAGAACTGCAGCTTGTCACTGTGACAATGTCACAATAATATACATTTGATTTTTAGCATCATAATTTAGTCTAAAGATAAGGAATTATGCTGCTATATTCAATAATTAATAATTATAGATTAATTTTGAATTTAATCAAATAATTTAGAAAATTCTAGAAGGAAACATCAAACCAAGCAGGTGCATAGTCTTGAGTTACACAAGTAGCAACACAAACATGAAGAGTATACAATGGTACAAACTCATATCAATAAAGCCATTAAGACTATCAGCAAATGGTCCACAATGGGATGGATCTGTGACAAGCAATAGGGTCCAATACATCCAGGACAGCCTGCCAATAAAAATTTTTGGAATTGCTCACTTGGATTTAATCCTAGGTCCCCAGATTAGTAAGCTGATGCCTTAACCACTCAGCCATCCATCCAGCCCAGTAAAACCATTCATTGAATGAACTCATATATCTGTGTTGCTATATAATTTGACAAGACATCCACGACTCAAATCTGCAATCCTTACACACTAAACAAGCATGTTATCAATTACGTTATGTGAATTTCCAATCCAAATATAACTGGTAACCAGTTATGATATTTATTATACATGTTCAATTATAAATTAATAGGATATTCTTACATTTTACTCATTCAAAAATTGTTTTTTATTGAATATAAAAAACAGTTAGAATATAAAATTAAAAAATACCTGATATTATCATAAGATAAAAGAGGTTCTCCTTCCTTATCTAAATTTGGCAACATACTTGCAAATTCTTTCCAGACATCATTGTTTGAACTTAATAAACCAACAAGTCTATTATGAGCCCAATAGGGCAAATGACGAAGTTCCGTGTTTGCAGAAATAGTCTCACCTTTACTACTTTGAAATGTCAAATTTGTATTAGTACTAAAGTTGGGATGCATAATTATCTGAAATATAAATAAAAATTTATTTAACAAAAGCAATATTTATCATATAATTATAATATGTAAAATTGAAATAATTAAGATTAGTAAAGACTTGAGGATATTTTAGTATCTGGTATATGTCAAAAAGCCAAAACCATCACAATTAAACTTTTCATTTGGTCAACCTGGACCAATTGCTTTTTTAACCATGGGCCAACAAATATCAATCATTTTATTTAATGCTCTTTTTGAGGGTGGCTAGGGACAACATTTGACCACTAAAGAGAAGGGTTTAATTAATTGCACACGTGGTTTATGTATGAATCGTAAAAACAGAAAAAAAATAAAACTATTAATTTACTTCATTGGCGATGATACATACAAAATACACACGTTTCAATTTATATATACACTTGTATTATCTCTTAATTATACCTACTATTATTATAAAAACTTTTAGATATCAATTTCGATTTCAAAACAGTCAACTTAAAACATTGTTGCCAACTTAAATGATATATAAAAAAAATATATAGTACATCTATTTTCATTTTTGTTTATAATTTATTACTTTCATTACAACACAGTTTAATAAAATATAGTTAATTTTATTTCGTTTTATCTAGCATACATTACACACAATAAATATCACAACGAACATTTTTGATCGAGTACAATACGGTTGGACATACACGTACTATATGCTATCCTGCGGCAGACTTTTCTATACGTTCTAAGGCGTCATAGTTGCATAGGGCACGAATTTCGACGACAGAAAAAGACAAGAGGTCTCACCGAGATTCGAACTCGGATCGCTGGATTCAAAGTCCAGAGTGCTTACCGTTACACTATGAGACCTCCGCCTAAGCCGCTTCTCGAAAGCCCATTTATAAGCCAATCAGAGTGCCAACTGACATTACTTGGTTCGTTCGTCACATGCAACGGAAATTTGAGTGTCGCAAAAGGGATATATTATTGTCCTTCGTCGTATATCGTGTAGGGCGGAACATCCTCGCCTTTCTTCGCGTTAACTAATTTGATGGGCGTCGTTTAACGATTCGGCTGAAATTCGTTTAAGTATTTTCGATCGCATGCTGTCTTTCGCTGTGGAAATCCAACTGACACTGGCATTGCACGAAATCGTGCAATGCAAGTGTCAGTATCGTACCTCTGTCGTGCGAGTGCCGTGACCGCTTCCGATAAAAACACAGTAGTACGCTTGAAACGAATTAATGATTCGATTAATTACATACCGATCACGGACAGCCATCGACAATTTACGATCCGTTTGCTTTCCACACGACGAAACGAAACGTTTCGACGACGAGGACGACGACGACGTTTCTTAAATTCTTTTTCACCACGTCCACCGACCACAACCGTCATTCTCTTCGCGACAGATTTGTGGCAATAGCTACGTTTTTTAACGAGAAAGTTTAGACGGAGAGATTTCCATTATCGGCAACAACAGATGCGGCGATATCTTTACGCGATAGTCGATAAGGCAATCTGCAATGCATTAAGGTGATATGCGACACGCGGGTCTGCGTGGGGTCCCATGGTGTAATGGTTAGCACTCTGGACTCTGAATCCAGTGATCCGAGTTCAAATCTCGGTGGGGTCTTTTCTTTTTCTCCCTTGTCATTGTTTATGCAATTGACAGCGACAATAGAATTCTTTCGCTTTGAATTTAGAACAGAAACTCTGCTTCACACACGTGTGTCGAAGCAGAGTTTCTGTTCGACGTTTCCATACGTTTACTCTACTTTTCCGATGCTTTCAAAACGGAATTCAACATGTTGCGAAGTTCTGATCCAATTAGCATTACTGTTTCGAATCAAAAGAATTACAAAATGTCTTCCAGGCGCTTAAGTCACACTAAAACAGACATTTTCAATCAACTGCTGATAAGAAAAGTTCGTGTCAGGAGTGGGATTCGAACCCACGCCCACTATCGCGGACCAGAATGCACGCTCCCGCAATTACAGGAAGGGTCTACCTTGAGTCTGGCGCGTTAGACCGCTCGGCCATCCTGACGTTATTCTGCGATTACGATTGATGCCTAATCAATGCGGAATATTCATTTCTCGTTATGTTCAAGCAGTTTTATGACAGGCCGACGTTTTACTAACTAAACGATGATTCAATTGCAATTGTTTAGTTTACGGAATTTCGAACGAAGTTATCACATGTTTTGTTTCTTACAAGAAATGAAATTTCCCCGGACTGAGTAATGACGTCGACGTTAAATTACGAGTCGTTTTTCCATTTTGATACCAGACTATTGGAATTAGGGGCGGGAGGTCCCGATTAACTATACGTCAACTTCTAATGCATGACAGAAGTCGCTTTATTTCAATTCAAAACTCTTTTCTTGAGAGGACAGGCCCCAATCTATTGCTAACAGGAAAAGTATGATGTACGGGAGCGAGGCAGCACATTACTAATTTGAGATTGAGAGAATATATTTTAAATTAAATAAATTTAAGATACGGTGAAACAAAAATTGCTCGGTGTATGTGTAAATTTACATCTTTATTTTCAGTTGTTAAATATTATAAAGATTTGAGAACAATTTTAAAAAGTTGTTAAATTGTGTTTCTTTTTTTCTTTGTTGATTGTTTGTGTATTTTTTACAGTTGGAAAAGGCCAGTGGCCATAGTGTCGTCTACTTTAAATAAATAAAATACACAAGAACCGTCTAAGAAAATCACACGACTTATCAATAACCAACTTTTAAGGTAAAGTATTGACTTCAGTAAGATTTCAGCTAAAAACATTTATACATCATAGGAGATTTTTAATTAATCTACTTAAAATAATTTCTCCTAATCTTTCGTTATGAATCGTGTACATTTTCTTCTGCTTTGATTTTCGGTTTAATTGTTAGAAAAATTATTTCAACTTTAATTATAAATTAGTCCAAAAATAAAACGTGCGCATATAATATTTGGACTGATACACGTAGTCAATTAATATAAAGTTTAAAAGTTTTATTAAGTAAAAGTTTATATACACATTTAATTGTTCAAGATAATTATAATTGTGGCTTAGACATATGCTAACTGCGATATTTCCCTTTTGTTTTTATTCGGTTGTCCAGTGTTGACACGCACGTTGCTGGCGAAAATCCATTATTTTCCGGTCAGAATTTCATCGTCAGTTGAGAGATTTCAAACGACCGAAGACGGTGCTAAGTTGTCACCGTCGACTTTAATTAACTTAATTAATTAAGTGGAAGAACACGTCCGTCGTAAGCGATGACGAAGGACATGTATCATTCCAAGAACCGTCAGCAGGAAAGGGAAGACGCCAAACCGCCATTAAAAGTCACGTCCGGTCATTAGGTCATAGCCAGGTAAAAGTCCATATCCGGGTAAAAAAAGTCACAATCGGGGGGAAGTCACATCCGGTGAGAAGACCTTGGAGATTTATTTCTTCTAGAAGAAGATCTTCATTCACCAAAGCTTCTTTTTCCTCTTTTTCAGAATCGATTTACACTCCTCTTGCAGTCGTTCCTCGCGTGCCTGTCTCTGCACCGACCATTCCGGAACTTCTGGATATCTCTGTTCCAGGTAATCGATGACAGACAACGTGCTCTCATCGGGAATGACGACAATCACCCGTTTCTTGTCGGGTTCACCAGATTTCTCCTTCGCACCCGCCAGCACTTCTTTCGGACGCACGCGAATCACTCTAATTGAAGAGGAAGACGTTTCTGATGTCGAGGAGCTATCCTCTTCACTCTCTCCTCCAGAGGTATTCCAATTCTTCAACGCTTTGAAATGATCCATTCTGCAAGCGAAAAACAAACGAGTATTAAATATTGTAGAACGAGCGTTAAATTATGACATTATTAAAAAATGAAATAAAAATTTAATACGATAGAAAACGGTCGTTTTAAGTACAAGAAAAATTCTAATCACAGATGAATATAAAGTTGAAATGGAATAATAAACGAAAACGTTAAAATTATTCATTCAATTATTATGTATTAAATATATTATAATAATGGTTTATAAAAGTTATGCTATTCTGTTGATTGTCATTAAAACTAATGAAAATATTCTAGAAGAAATTAATGTCGAATAAAGTCATTTATTCTAATTCATTAAAGGTCAGATTAATTATAATAATGTCATATGGGATGTAATGTGTACGCATATATAATATACACACACAAAATTATATTCGAGTTTGCTTTAACGATTCGATTCGATTGACGAAAATTAACAATAAAAAGATTGAATGCACTTTTCCAAAATAAGTCGAAGGCTCGATTCTTCTCTTTGAAGAAACCAAACAACTTTGTTATCGAAATATTTGTTGTGGAAAGATTATCGCTGCTAACTGTGATTTAGTACCTAACAATGTTAAAAAATACCTAAATCTAGAAAGATCAGGGACTAAACTCACCCAAAATTATCGCAAAACCTACAGCAAAACTCCGAAAATACTCGAAACAATCGCATTCGAACAAAGCAACAGACAATTGTCGAAATTCTATTGTTACGTCGCGGCTCAGTTTAATGCTAAAAATTTCGATTTTTTGACAGAATTTCGTTTTCGGGGGTTTTCTACTATAGAAACGGGCCATTTTGCTTTTTGTCTGTAGTTTTTAACTCACGCCCACAGAGACGAGGTGTAATCCATTTTGTTAGAGTTAGGATGTTCGAAGACGCTCACAAACTAAGTCGATTCCACTTAAATTGAGCAATGGTAGATTCTTCTGGAACTGTTGTTTCTATATTGTTGTTGGGCTGCAATTTGAACCCGTTGTAGATGTATAAATGCCCACTGTCTGGCCTTCCTTAATCTCGAGAACGCAGTTAGGTAGATGAAAGTCGAGATCAGATATGTAAAGATTAGGAATTGATTGCATCGGAAAGTTCATATATAGTTAATCGAGGCCTCCTCTTTCGATTAACTATATATGAACTTTCGATGCAAGGCGGAAATCACCTTATTTCCATTCAAAACATTTCCCCCTAAAGGAGTTAAATAGATGACAGGCACGACTCTATTGCTAACAGGAAAAGTATGATGTACGGGGGTGAGACACTACAGTATTAATTTGAGGTGGACAGCATATATTTTAAATTAAATAAATTAAAAATATGATTAAAAATTACCGCCCGGCATTGTGACCATATCACAATAAATAATTGCAACTTTAATCAGTATTATATTTTTATTTTCAAATTTTGAATTTTACCGCTATGGGATCCGATTCTGTAATGCTTTTTGTTTAAAGTTAGAATTAACTGACCATTTTATCATATTTATTTTTTTTTCGAAGAAGAGGCCAAAAATAAAATCTTGCACAATGCACATGAAAAGCTCGTTACAGTACTGCTTATACAGTAGAACCTCGAAAACTCGGCCTAATGCGGACCGAAGGGTGGCCGAGTTTGTGAAAATGCCGGGTTATCGGGAATGGGGTTAAAAAAAATAAGTACGAGTGTTTCCTCAGAAAATACTGTACTGTACTTGTATGTATTGTTTACTTGA